TCTATATATAATTTCGTAATAATTTGAATTTGATTCCCCATTGTTTCCCTTCCTATCCTAAAGGGCCATAATTTGAACAAATAAAAATCTTTAATACATATGGATGGCTACATGCTGATATGACTAAATAGAGCTTATCTGTTCTTGGGATTTTTTCCTTCATTTTTCTATGTAAAACATTGATCCACCTTTGTGTCCCAACCCTAACCTTGGGGGTTATGATTTGAACATATTTATTTCTACACTTCCTGAGAATGCTTCCATATAAATACAAGTACCACTAATCATGGCTTTGCTATTCTTGAGAAGAAAACTTATTAAATATATTTTAATGTACAACTTGGATTCTCCATTGTGGTCCCACCCTATCCCAGGGGATTGTAATTTGAACATACTAGAATGTTCACTACCTGAGGTCGATTCCATCTAAATATATCTTATCATGGCTTTGAAGTACTTGAAATATGATTTTAAAAGATTTCCTTATCATTCCTACGTAAAACTATAATCGGCCATTCTGGCCCCACCCCTACTTCCAGGGGTCATGATTTGAACAAACTAGAATCTACACTACCCGAAGATGATTCCATATAGATATCTCTAATCATGGTTTCGAAGTACGTAAAAGATGATTTTAAAAGTTTTCCCTCTAGTTCCAACGTAAAACTTTGATCGGCCATTTTGGCCCCACCCTCCCCCCGGGGGCCATGATTTGAATAAACTTGAGTCTACACCAACCAAGGATGATTCCACACGAGTTTCATCTCTCTTAGCCCAGTGGTTCTTGAGAAGAAGATTTTTAAAGATTTTTCCTGTATACTTCTATGTAAAACTTTGATTGGCCATTGTGGCTCCACCCTACCCCTCGGGGTCATGATTTGAACAAACCTGAATCTACATTAGCTGAGGATTAATTATTCTACATGATTTAGATTCATCTCCCCAAGGAAAATGGCATGACCCTTATTTGAATAAAGTTGAATCACCATTACCCAAGGATGCTTTGAAGCAAGTTTGATTGAAATTGGCCCAGTGGTTCTTGAGAAGAAGATGAAAATGTGAAAAGTTAACGACAACAACGACGACAGACAACGGACAAATTCGGCTCAGGTGAGCTAAAAACTGTTTTCACCTTAAGTTCCACAAATCTAATTTTTTTAATCATTATACGAAATATAAAAAATCGACTCATATTACTAATCTATTCATGTTACTTTAATTCAGTCGCCAGTCCGGTTAGAGCATCTGTTCTTGATCCTTATTTCGATGGTTCGAATCCCACTGTTGGACTCAAAGGAACATGGACACAGTTTCAACTGAATTTTTAAAACCAATTTCAAGGCTTACAAATCTTAACTATTCTAATGCATCATCTAATTATCAGCAAAAATCTGAACACCATTTAGTGATTAACAAAGGAGATACAGGCCTGAAAGTTCTTCAGATTGTAAACAAGGCTCGTGCCTTACTTTTGTTTACATATGGGAAATATATTATCTATAACATAATGAAATTCAGCAAATCACTAGAAACTATGCAATGGTATTTAGAACTTACTTTTTTATTGAATTTATTTGCTTTTAACGAACATATATTAGTATTAATCTATGTTATACAAAACATGACATGAACTCTGTTTAAATAATCAAGGTTTGGAGCTCTAAATATGTCTTGTATCTCAGCAAATGAAGATTCAAGTCAGTTCAAATGTTTGATGATCATTAGAAAGACCCTAGTTAAATATTTGTGTGTAAAAATAAATTTGAATTTTTAGCTGAACTGTGTCTATGCCCCTTTAAAGACAGATAGGACCGATCCTTCAGACGATACCGTATTTAAACCGACGTCCTGTGTCGCACTAGGTGCTGGATAAAAAAGATCCCTCACTGTTCAATATACCTACATATACATTTATAGATATACATAATGCAGTTACTCTATATGTCAAAATTAGTCTAGTGTCTATTCACTTAAAGTATGATAAATAAATACATGATGACCTGTGATATAAGAACAAGAGGCCCATGGGCCTTATAGGTCACCTGAGTATCATGCAACAACTTTCCAACAATTGAATTTGAAACATGTTTTAAACTAGAGGCCATGAAATTCACAATTTTGAAAGAGGCATCATTGCTTATCATAATTATACACTCAGCATGCTTATTTTGGTTACTTTAAACCCAGAGGTAAATCAGAGTAACAAAGAGAAAATGCATTTCCACTTTTAGTGAATTTCATGGCCCCTGGGTCAGGGCTTCTTCTGTTAGGGCGGCTCCACAGTTGAGCTCCCAATCCCACAGGAACCACTGACCCTGGGGCCACATCTTTCAAAATTTTGGAATTTTTTTTAGAATTTTATTTCATCATGCTGTTGATTAATACCAAAGTGCAGACTTCAAAGCATTATATTACTTCAGACTATGTTAACCCCTCCCCCCCCCCAAAGTAACTCTGTCCCAGGGGACAGGAAATTAACCATTTTTGGAAGAAACAGTGTTTTTTTCATAAACATATACTAAGATCATTGGCATTATACCCATTAACAAAGGAAAAGATTTTCAAAGAATTCAAGCATTTTCACTATATGAACATTAGAGCCTTCCCCCCCCCCCAAACACAAGAATCTGTAACCCAGGGACCTGAAATTCAAAAATCTCAGAGGCATCCTTCCTCCTCATAACTATGTACATAGTTCATTGGTTAAATACTCAGGTGCAGAAAAGAAAAGTTTTTAAGAGTTTATGCATTTTCACTATATATTTAATAAAGCCCCGCCCTAACACCAGAACCTCAAAACAAGGGGCCATGAAATTCACTATTTTGGAAGAGGTAGTCTTATTCAACATAACTATGTACTTGGTTAGTTTATTTAATACTCAGGAGCAAAGAAGATTTTCAAAGATAATAAATTTTTTACTTTATAATCTATATAGCCCGGCCCTAGCACTAGAACCCCTGACCCTGGGGCCATGAAATTCACAATTTTGGAAGGAAGAGCCTTATTCAACATAGCCATGCACTTGGTTAGTTTATTTAATGCCCATGAACAGAGAAGAAGAACTTCAAATATTTTTTGCATTTTCACTATATAATCTATATAGCCCCGCCCTACCAGTAGAAACCCCCGGCGCCATTAAATTCACAATTTAAGGAGAGGCAGTCTAATTTAACATAACTATGCACTTGGTTAGTTTATTTTAAATGCCAACAAACAGAAAAGAAGAATTTCAAAGAATTTATACATTTTCACTTTATAATCTATATAGCCCCGCTTTAGACTAGAATCCCTGACCCTGGGGCCATAAATTTCACAATTTTTGTAGAAGACTCAATGCTGATTACAATCATACCAACAATTAAACTGCTTGATGTCCAGGAGTAAGGGAGAAGATTTTTTTAAAATTGCGCTAATTTTAGTGGTTTTTGCCCCACTCTACAGGCCCCAGGGTGACAGGGACCATGAAATTCACCATTTTTGTTTCCCTTTACCCAAAGATGCTTTATGCCAAATTTGGTTGAAATTGGTTCAACGGTTTCAGAAAAGAAGCTAAAAATGTTCAAATGTTAACGCACGACGAACGACGCACGCCGAACGACGACGGACTAAAACAGATAGCAATAGGTCACCTGAGTTTACTCAGGTGACCTAAGAACAATTGATGGCTAAAGAGGTATCTAAAATTACCTAGGCGTCGGAAGCAAATTGAAAGTTTGGGAGGGGGAAACAAACAAAATAAGGTAAACTCCAATTTTAAATCCTAAATTATGTGTATATTTGCAAAAAAAAGGGGGGGGGAGTTCCGACGCCTATGAATTATATGCCTTAATATATTTTTTATCATAAAACATTCTGTCAATTAATTGAAGCATGTTGTTGGATATAAAGTACACAATGCATAAGTAAAATAAACATATAACAAGCTACATGTACACAGTAAATGCAGTAGGATCGTACATTGTAAATCTCTGTACTAATAAAATATAATGTACGTTTATATTCATATAAGCATGTAAAATTTTGTAAATATTTTGATCTCACTGGATATTTACAATACAAAAACAAAACGATATACATGTAAACATATCAACACAAGTAACAAAGTTGAATCACAGATCTGTGTTTTTATAAATTTGCAATCGTGAATGAAAATATTCCCGTCTTGTCCGACACTTCCATACAAATTTGAACTTTGCAGCTACTCTAAAATAGGTACAAGCAGTATAGGATACACGTTCACTTAAAATGCACTTTCCATTATTATAAAATAAAGTAAAATATGCATTTCTTTAATATTCTACACAATATTCTACGAGCTCCTAATCTGTAGTTCTTTCATTACGATTGATTTTTGTTTCTATTTCATAAGCATTTGATTTGATCGTCTCCTAACTTTCTTGAATTTGAACACTTCTACAATATAATTCTTTCATGTAAATTAGTTGATTCTGATTTAATGCTGTACATTTGTTAAAAACGCTATTATCCAAATAATGATGAAGCCATTATCTCAAACGTAGCATCAGTATCATTGCATGACTACGGGAGATATTCCATAAAAATAGCGACTGCACAGAATTCATATGCGCAAGGTCCACTGTCATTAAATTTTGTCTGAGAGTTGGACGTCGAACTCACGTTCCGTTAAAAATGTAAAATAGATCATTCATTCTTTATTTTGGTAAGCCTTCTTTCCATATTTTCTGGGTTTATTTGCATAGCTTCCTTTCAATTTCTTTCATATCTAGTAATAGCTGGATAAGAACCACACAAAATGTCCAGTTTCTCACATATCTTATTTAATTTTTTGAGCACCATGGTCTATGATTATTGCAATCCCATTGGATTGCTTTTTGGTAAGTCAATTTTTGTCCATCATTACCAATCAATTCCACATCCAGAACAAATTTAACCATCAATTTTATAAAAAAAAAAATAATTTGAAAACTGCTCGCCCAAAGTCTTTGCTGATTCTTATTTTTTTTTTTTTTATTTTTTTTTTTCATAAAAGAAATGATGATATACACATTTCTTCACAATTGACAAAGGCTGGTCTTCAATTGTTTAAAGTCGAAGTCATTCTACATATGTTCGATGCATAAAAAGTTTAATTTGCACAGCACCGCCTGTCAACATCAATTTTGCTTTTTTTTTTCAAATTAAACTTAACCACTCTCATATCTGACATTAAGTTTTGCATATTTGACATGACTTTCTTCAACATATCAGGTTGTTCCTTGTTGACTTTTTGTAAAATAGCCGAAATAGCATCTTCATCTTCTAAAGTCAGTTTATATATGCTATTAAGGTTCTCCAAGTATTTTTTCCCAGTGAAGGTTTCCAATCTTTGGCAGATATCTGACATTGTCGACCACTTTGTTATTGAATTCTGTCTAAAAGGGTGAGGCCGATTTCATGTGTGCAGTCAATTTATTTCGTATTGACCTAATTCTCTCGATATCATCACCCACTGTCACTTCTTCTTCTGCAGGCAGGCTCTTCTCCCCACCTTCCTTTTGTTGGCTAGGGGATCTTTGAACAAATGTTTCTTAAGAGCTTGTATCTAAATGAAATATCAAATTCCTCAAATTCAGTTTATGATTATAATTAAGCTAATCCAAGTGCGTTTCACCAATGAAACTTTCGAGTGTATTTCAGATTTCCGACATCTTCTACAAAGTGTTACAGAATACATTATTTACTGTACTAGTCCTGCAAACGTTCTATGAGTAAAATGTATTATTTCTGAAAGATTGCTTCCAGACTTCAATTTTGTTTTAATGTCAACATTTGAGACTTTAATTCTTGAACATCTGACACGACTGTCTTCATCAGTTCTTGTTGATCTTTGACAAACTTTTCTATAATAGCTTTAATTGCATCTTCCCCCTCCTCTTTTAGAGCCAGTTTCTGAATGCCTTTAAGACTATCGAAGTACTTTTTACCAGTGAAGGTTTCCAGTCTTTGGCAGACATCTGACATTGTTGACCAGGTATCATCGAATTCTGTCTGAGGGATGGAGGCTGAGCTCACGTGTGCAGTAAGTCTATTTCGTATTAACCTAATTCTTTCGATATCATCACCCACTGTCACCTCTCCTGCTGCAGGCTCTTCTCCCCATTCTCCTTTTGTTGGTTTAGGTATCTTTGAACAAATGTTTCTTATCAACTTGTATGTTAATGAAATATCAAATTCCTCATATCCTGATATTTTTGCTTTTTTCAATTGATCTTCTTGATGTGCGTTTAGATTCAGACTCTTCAACTTTTTGTTTGATAATAAATCCACCTTGTTCTCAATGTCAGATGCGGGAATTTCTGATTCCAGAATATCTCTGTATGCCTTATTCAACACATCATTTGTAGCCATACCAAGTTTTGCAAATCTAGACCGGCCTTCTAGGTTTTGTCCAGAGGCCACAGGAGTACTGGAATCACTCGCCTCTCTCTGAAACAAAATAAACCATAGCTATTATAATGAACCAATCTTAACCTCGAAACTAAGTGCTGGAAATAGCCAACTTTGTCTGAAGCAAAATCAATCTTAGTTCATCTAATGGAGCCAACTTAGGAAAAAACATTATAAACCAAGATTAAAATTTATAAGATGATTCCCCATATATTAAGCAAAGCTAAACCCTAATGCAAGTACAGTTTGTTTTCCAAAGTGATTATAACAAAGGGCCCTGTTGTAGGTCAAGAAAGGAAAATTAGGATAAAACAATTTTAATTTACCATTAGATATCATTGAGTTTGTGACATAACATCAATTTGGAAAATTAGGATTAAAGTGAAATGAAAGATTTATCTAGAGAGAATCATAATGTACTCATCAGAGCTTCTAAAACCCTGGTACCCCAACCACGAGACAATGGATAGTTAATTGCACAATTTTGGTAAAAGATTAAAAATCCATTAACCTCTTGCAAAACAGTTCATCTACTCTGCACTGGTCTGAAAGAAACTTGGTGCTTTGATCAAGGTCATGACACATTTTGAAATTATAAGCAATATTAGTTTGAAGTATACAGATACACCTAACTACATTTCATCATTTCATTTCGAGTTTCCAATTATTTTTTCTGGTTAACATCATATTATCTTAAATAAGTTCAAATCATGACACATTCTTGGGTCGTAAGAAATCGTTGAGTCAAATAATGGTCCATTTTACAAGATATGGTAACACTAATTTTATTTTTAAAAAATTATTTCTGAAAGTGATCTTGAACTTGACCAATTGGCCTTGCATTCATATCAAGACATTCCTGATAGAATTCTCTGTGTAAAATATAAACTTCAAATGTCTCTCTCTTTAATATTTTTTCATTCATTGATCTTTTATATGGTCAAAATCAGTACAATTCCCCAGCTGGTAAAAAATATATGTGCCAGTGTTTTTATTGAGTTATTGGCTGGACTTAAATATACATATATGCCAACAGACAGGCAGACAATGTAAGTCCTAAAGATAGATTTTTCGATTTTTGTTGTACAGGGAGTATAAAGATTAATAACTGTTACCTTTTCCCAGAATTCCTGTGTCCTCTGTACATTTATCACATGTTTCTCCCGAAGTTCACACTTGCACTGCGTTTCTTCTGCCTTGATCTTGGAGAGCTCACTTGAAAGGGTAAAAGATAGATCTTTCTCATTACAAATAATGTTTTGACATTTGTATCCTCTATGGAATATTTTTGTGTCAATAAATGTTTCTGTCAATTTTTTTATTGCTTTATCAATGGAGACTCCAATTTCATTTGATACACCTTTCTCTACAGCCAATGGTTTGATTCTCAGCACCTGCAACTGAATATCATCATTGCATATGCCAACAACAACAGTATGTTCATTGTGATCAAACACTGCCCCTGTTTGATAGAGACATGGACTTCCTTCATTATCTTCATCTTTTGCTACACTCCATCTTAGAGAACTTATGCAGTATGCTACCAGTCTGTAGAACACAAACATGGCAAAGGAAGAGCATCGATAGCACAAAATGGATGAGGATTCCCATTTATCTTCACAGAAGTCAGCTTTAAACTGCTTTTTGTTCATACATGGGACATACCATGACATGCCACCTTCTGATACAGCCTTATATGCATTCAAAGGTACCAGCATTTGAAGTTTCTCCATGTACAGCATAATTTCAGTTTTATGTTTCAAGTAAGAGGGTTCATCTTTCCACAGTGCATTTATCACTTTATCTTTAAGTTCCCCCGTTTTGTTGAAGGATTTCCACTCTTTAATTAATTTCCTTTTACAATCTTTATTGATGTGATTTTCATCAGCAATTATCTTGCTGAAAGCATTAGCAAACCACTGAATATCTAGTATAACATGTTCCCTCAAGTCCGCTTCTCCAAAATTCAAAAGAAGACCATTGTCATGGAAACATTTTAAAAATTCGGACATTTCCTTGTCTTTTTTGATTTGGTATTCATCAGGAAGAGATGAGTTAAGCTTCCAGATTTCACTCAGGGACAAAACCTTCCAGCCTCCTTCATACAATAACTGCTCCATTAGAGCCCATGAAGAAGGCAATTCAACTTTTGTATTGTTCTTGTCTGCGAATAGTTCCACTATGGATTTTTTCATTGACTCCAGCATTTCCTTGGTATTATCATTAAGTTCCTCTAGACCTACTGCATATTCTCGATCATTCAGAGACCCACTTAACCAATCTTTATCGTCATCGGGTACGGCATTCCAAAACTCCCCCAAATACTTCTCTATTTCCTGAAGAAGTAAACAAAGCAAGCATACTAGACATATTAATTCATAATTGTGAGCTATGATTTTATCACTGTAAATGCTAAATTGTGTGTTGATGTTTGAAAATCTGAAAATCATGTACATGTATTTTGGATTTAAACTGGCAATTAGTTTTAACTGATTACAGATAAAACTGTAAATAAGGTATCCATTATAGATTAACAATGCCATATTGGATGTAATACATAATTGTGTGATACGATTTACTGTAAATGAAATATTGGTTCTCTTGTAGTTCTGACGTAAACACTGTTATTGTGCATTCTAAAGATATGTTAATATCAGTTATTCTTTTTTTCACATTTTTATTAGACAGAATACTAACATTTGTAGATTTTGTTTCTGTGTGTGTGACAACAAGAAACAGTGGTGCCTCTTTGCCTCCAAATGTCTTGATTGAGGTAATCCAAAACTTCAGATAGTCTAAAAGAATAAAAAAGCATCATGATTAAAAAAGAAACAAGTCAGTGTCTCTGGAAAGTGTATAGCTTTACTGTATTGTATTTAAAACATCTTAAATAAAAGAATTTTAATCTATAATTTTGTTCTTGGTTTTACAATAATTCAACAGAATTATGAGACTTCAATTTTGTTAGCACATTTAAAGTAATTAAAAAATAAATTATGAACTGTACAACGTGCAGTAAATCATTTTAGAAGACAAATTTACACATCTTCTTTTTTCAGTATGACATCTGATTTGTAGACAAGAGACCCATGGGCCACATCGTTCACCTGAGAAGCTTTGACCATTCTGTTCTTTACCAGATTTCCCCCTTGTAATACATAATGCATCCCCACCCTACCCCACTGATAATCATTTAGACATTTTGAAATCTACACTACCCCATGATCCTTCCATGTGCACATAAGTTTCAGCTTTTCTGGCCAATTGGTTCTTGAGAAGATTTTTGATTTTTTCTATATATTTCTATGTAAAAACCTTGATTACCAATTGTGGCCCCGCCCTTTCCCTGGGGGTCATGATTTAAATTATTTGGAATCTACACTACCCCAGGATGCTTCCACATAAATTTCAGCGTTTTTGGCCAATTGGTTCTTGAGAAGATTTTCAAAGATTTTTTTTCCTATATATTTCTATGTAAAACTTTGATTACCAATTGTGGCCCCGCCCTTCCCCCAGGGTCATGATTTGAATAATTCAGAATCTACACTACCCAAAGATGCTTCTACATAAATTTCAGCTTTTCTGGCCAATTGGTTCTTGAGATGAAGATTTTCAAAGATTTTTCCTATATTTTTCTGTGTAAAATTTTGATTCATCATTGTGGCCCCGCCCTTCCCCTGGGGGTCATGATTTGAACAATTAAGAATCTACACTATACCAGGATTCTTCCACAAAAGTTTCAGGTTTTCTGGCCCAGTGGTTCTTGAGAAGATGATTTTCAAAGATTTTTCCTTTATATTTCTATGAAAAACTTTGATTCACCAATGTGCCCCCGCCCTTCCCCCAGGAGTCATGATTTGAACAATTTAGAATCTACACTACCTTAAGATGCTTCCACACAAGTTTCAGCTTTTCTGGCCCAGTGGTTCTTAAGAAGAAGTTTTTTTAATGACCCCACCCTATTTTTATCTTTTCTTGATTATCTCTCTATTGGCCCTTTATTTTAACAATTTAAATTCCCCTTTACCCAAGAATGCTTTGTACCAAGTTTGTTCCAAGTTGGCCCAAGGGTTCTTGAGAAGAGGTCAAAATGTGAAAAGTTTACAGACGGACAGACGGACAGACAGACAGACGGATGGACGACGGACAAAATGTGATCAGAAAAGCTCACTTGAGCCTTCGGCTCAAGTGAGCTAAAAAAAGTATAACGATGTGATGTACTTGTTCAGGCAAGCAGCATATGCAAAGAAGACCATTTCAATGACAATATCCTCTGAAAACAGATTTATAATTCCTGACTACTAACCGACAATTTATGGGTCACATCGGATCATCCACAGAAATGAACTGATACCCACTACAACTGACTACCCCATGGAATCGTCATTAACTCCAATGAAATAACCCTATCCAATTATTGAACCCCATTTGCCTTAAACTGAAAGACAATTATAGCAATAGTTATTTTTGAAAATGAACCAAATGTGTTTTAAACAGAGATGTTTGTGAAACACTTATGCCTCCCTCATCAACAAATTGGAATTTTTTAAGTCTAAAAGGGCATAACTCTGTCTACAATGGTGTGATCGTACCCAAATCAAAACTTGAACTAGATATTCATCCGCCTAATCTTTAATCTTTTTAGACTTATAATAAATTTCACTTCAATATGTGCAACCTCTTCGAAAAAGTGAACGGAAACTGCAAATAATTTAGAATTAAAAAAAGTCCAAGGTACATTCCTCTGTCAAAAATGATGTGATTGTACCCAAAACAAAATGTAACATAGATATTTATCAGATAAACCTGTATATCAAATTTCATTTTAGTATGTGCAACGGTTGTAAAGAAAATGAATGGAAACTACATGGACCGCGAACAGCTACAAAGCAATATGCCCTCCCTTCGAAGGGGACATTAAAATATATATCTACCATTTTCTACTATTATCTACTATTTTCCTAACAATCTTCTTTTTTCTAAAATATATTTTGTGTGCATTTCATTATGTGAATATATTTCAATCAAGGGTTTTTTTGCAGAATAATTATAACAAAAGGAGGCTGTAGAGCTACTGGCTGTACTTTTAACGTAAGATAAAAGTAGCACTAAACATGTTTTTTTAAATATTTCAATCTTTTTAGTAAAGTGGTAACAGGATGGTTATTGTCCGTGAACAAAATTATAAGTAGTTGCTGAATGTTTTACCTTTGTAAGTCCACACAGAGAAGATTGATCCTTCCTGGTTATCCCTATCTTTATCAACAACATCTTCAAACTTCTTTGTCATGTCCAACACAAGAATGAAGAAGGCCTTTGGTGTTACGTAAATTTGGTGACAGGCATAATAAGCTAACTGGCCAGCGAAATCCAGCATGCTAACAGTCGGTAATTTTTCCTTATTAGACAAGATTTTCTGAAAAATTCCATGCTTCACCATAGCTGTAGCTTCTGAGGAGAGAGCACTGGCCATTACATCTACTGAGTTCTCTTCTTTTCTGCGTTTAGTTGGTGGGCTAGATAACTCTACTTTCTCTTCTTTCTTTTCCTCTGTGCTATGAATAACTTCAGTGTCTTTATCAGTATTTTTCATTTCCAGGTTGTCCCCTTGTTGATTTGTATTGGAGCTGTCAACTGCACTGCTCAGGTCTGGTTTTAAATCTGCAGCGTTTATCCTGATAAATGTCTTCAATGGGGAGTCATCATCAGCCACTATAAAAAGGGGAGATTTGTTATTCATCTTAAAACTTGTTATATAGTAACTGTATACAGTAGCTGCAAAGTTATTGTTGACAAACCAATTATGCAGAATTGTTTGTGATCATTCACATAATGTGAAATATTGTCCATTAATCATATGCAGTTTTAATTGTGCGTAATCAAATGATAAGAAACAAGCAAATATCCTTTTGGCAGTACGTTCTCTAACAGATCAATTTGTATATAATTTTTCATTTCAATGTGTGCAAAAAACTACGGAAACTGATGGTTGACCGACAGACAGACCAACCAATAGACAGCAGCATAGCAATATACACTCCTTTCTTCTCAGAGATACATAATAAGCCACCCTCCATGGAACCCCTGACCAGGGACAAGAAATTCATAATTTTGAAAAAAAACACTCTTCCTTCTCATTACTATGTACTTAGTTCACAGCTTTATACTCACGAGCAGAACAGAAGATTTTTTAAGAATTCATGCATTTTCACTACATTTATATATTAATCATTAGAGCACATCCTAACGTCAAACAACTTACCCAGGGACAATGAAATTCTCAGTTTTGGGAGAAGCACTCTTCCTTATCATAACTATATCATTAATTCATTAGGTTTATACCCAGGACCAGAAAAGATTTTCAAAGAATGCATTTCACAAGAATATCAATTAACTAGAACTCCTGACCCTGGAGCCATGAAATTTACAATTTCAAAAGACACACCCTTGCTCATCATCACTATACATTACGTTTAGCAGAATAAAAGATTTACAAAAGAATTATGCACTTTCATTATATCAACTATATAGCCCCGCCCTAGCACTAGAATCCAGCACCTAGGGCCATGAATGTCACATCTTTGGTAGAATACTCAATGGTGATTAGAATCATGCCAGCAGTTTGGCTGCTTGATATCCAGAAGTAAAGAAGATAACTCTTAAATATTGCAATGACTTTTGGCCCCACCCTGAGGCATCAGGGGGACAGGGTCCATTAATTTGACAATTTTTGTTTTTCCTTCATCTATAAATGCTATATGCTAAATGCTAAATTTGGTTGAAATTGGTTCAGTGGTTTACAAGAGAATATATGCTAAAAGTGATTAAAAATTTATGACCGATGGATGACGAACGTCGACGAAGACCGGCAAAAATTAATACATTGTAGCCATAAGTCACCTGAGTTTTGACTTAACGGAGATGGCTATTGTTTGGGCATGTGTTGAGGAAACCATCCAACAACATAACAAAGTTGCCCTTAGATGGACACCGGAAGGGAAGAGGAAACCTTGTCGGCCAAAGACCAACTGTCGAGGTTTGTTGAAAAAGAACTGAGGGACCAGAAGCTAACTTGGGGAGAACTGGAGAGATGTGCTAAAGATAGAAAGAGATTTTTTTTTTTTCAATTTAAAGTCTCGGTTTGTAAATGCACGAATAAGATTACTTTACCTAATGTGACATATATGACAACTTTTATAATAGGGGTGCAAATACAACAGGTTTTGCTTTATACTACTCGAGTTTGTCTATATTTAATATTTTTAAAAATTTTCTTCGTGATATTTCTTTGCAAAAAATTAATCCCCGATTGCGACCCTTCCATACCCCGCGGGGTCATGATGTGATATCCTGTATTTAGTCAGAAAATGTTTATTTTGAATTGTATGTCAAATATTATAATGTGAATGTTTGAATTTATTTCACTTTAATAAATGGTTATTAAAATATATGAGGGTTGTCCAAAAAGTTCGTGGACAATGACGTTTATGCTGAAATAAATGGTGCTATATGCATCTATTGTATATCAAAATATTTCTCATGAAAAAATAAGTCAGAATGATTCAATTTTTATTGATGAAAATTAATATTTTTATAAAAATCGGGGTCTTTAAAGAACGCAGATTGTGCGCACGGACCAGTCTGACGTTAAGCTAATTTCAATATAACGTCAAACATATATTTGTATTTTGACTTAACACATGTTAATGGACACACACTACATTTCCTTTTTAAGGCACAACGTACTTCGAAGTGCTAGCAATAATCTTTAAGTATAGATTACAATTTATTTAATTTTTAAAACTCAAAACAATGCACAAAAATTTACAAGCGTCATCTAAATAAACAGTTTGTATATTTACACTGCACAGCCCAGTCCGACGCTGCGCTAGATTTATAACAATGTCATAAATTATTATAGAAATCTTCAATTTCGGTATATTACATGTGTATTTTAATTCTTGTAGTGTCTTTTAATTTGTACACACCGTTGAAAAATCGTATTTACCAATCCCAAATAGATACACTAAATTCATTTTAATAATATTGAGTTGTTTTAACAAAATATTAATATTTTTTTTCTCTTACGTCGTTTCAACCGTCATAAAACTTAATTTTTTGATCGGATGCTGCCCCGTGCTAACGGCCGACATCGCTTTTTCTGTTGAGTTTTGACACGTACTTGTTAGGGTTTTCTTTTAGTAAATTCGTTGTCTATATAGTAAGCGATACTTAAGATATCATAAAATGTTTATAGCCTCTTTAATTGTGTTACATAAAATTTTCATTAATTTTTGACATGTTTTATATAGAAAATAATCATTTTCATCCAAACACTTTATATCAAAGTTTGCATCATTTTAACCTTGTTCCGTGCTCACTATCTGCGACCTTTGAAGAACCCGATTTCTGCAAAAATACTACTTTCCATTAATAAAAACTAATTTATTTTGACTTGGTTTTTCATAAGAAATATTTTGATATACAACAGATTTATATAGAACAATATAGTTTCACAAAAACGTCATTGTCCACGAACGTTTTGGACAATCCTTAAACTGTTATTTTCAAAGTTTTTAAAAAATTGGTGAATGGCCGAATGAGCAGCATTTAATAATTTTGTTAAATTTTCATAAAACCTTTATTTCAGTCATTGAGTAAATTATTTACAGTATCACAGAGTATAAAGAAGGATATGGAAATAACGAACAGTATTCAATCTCAACTTCCATTAAACAAATATACAAAATAAGAGCAGAGCAAACACGGACCTCCGAAACATCAGAGGTGGGATCAGGTGCCATGGAGGAGTGAGCATCCCCTGCCGACCGGTCACACCCGCCGTGTGCTCGTTGTCATAATCAGGAAATAACGGAAAAAATCCGTGGTCAATTCAGTGTATAAATAATGGACTAACAATTGGTATGAAAAACGTCAGTCAGCACTTCATTCAATGATAAATTGTATTTGCTGACAAGGTCATTGTATCGATCATAGAATTTACGAAAGATTATAAAGCCTATTATATTTATTATACAAAGAAACACAAAATAAGCTTTAGCCTTGCAGCATTTTACTTTTGACCTTTACGCCTCATGTGAGGTATATGTGTGTATTATTTGCATGAAATTGAGTTCTTCAGGACTCTTTGTTAACTCCATATCGTTCATGCAAGGATGTTTTAAACTATGTTTTAAGGACAGATGATACAAACAAACTTTTGTCAAAAGATATGAAATTAACAAAATGTTTTAATGAGTAAAATGAATAACTTTCACCAAGTACTTTTTTAATTTTTTATTCATATTTTCACAAAAATGAGATGTGAAGTGAGAAAAATTTGTATAAATTAATAAAGATGGTTTGCAGAGAGGCAAAATTTTGAACATCACAGAAGGTTTACAATTTTTTGTTATTATTAGAAATTTATTATTTGCATCATTTTCAATGAAATTAGGCCAAAAATATATACCAATCCAGGCATCCATTTTTTTATTATCTACCCTTAAACTAACTTTATTTAAAAATTGGCTTCTGATTCTTGATTAAAAGTTGAAACTGAAAAGTTTACGGAGGAGGGACAATCAGAAAAGCTCATTTTAGCTTTCAGCTCAGGTGAGGTAAAAACTCAAATTGGTTTCTTCTGATAATAAAGTGACTTGTCTGTGAATATGAGTCAGAAATTATTTTTACCTTCTAAAACTTTATCTCTAACAATATAGAGATGTTGATGGACTTCCAGTCCCCTGGTGGACTCTGTTATTTCATTTAGAGTTAGAGTTTGCCCTCTTAATCTCTTCAGTAGCGTTGTTTTTCCAGCCTCAGCACATCCAACAAGTATTCCTCTGGCATGGGAAACAGTTGTCTTCTCCTTCCTCAGAAACTTCTTCAACTCATCCACTTTATTTATATCATCACTGCTTGGATCTATAACAAAAAGCAGACATGTTCACAGAATAGACATCAGAACACACACATGAAGCAGAATTTGAAATTTTGTTTGAATGTTTGAATCCATTTTGTAGGCATTTCAGAAATATGTAACTCTGTTATTTTTATATTTTAACTTCTGACATCAATTCAAGACTATTATCTGATAATTTTTGTTGCTTTGGTCATATATATACCTCATGGGCTAAGAGAAATGTATGAAAATAAACATTAAAAAAAAATGGAAAAAAAATCTTGTCTGAAGTAAGTCTACTAATATAGGTAATGCTATTTCATCTAACAAACTTTAAAGCCGCTGTTAGTCGGATTCTAATCGCGAAAAAATATATATAGTTTTTCTACTTGAAAAATAATTGTCCATAAATTGTTTAAACTTTTGTCAAATGACATCCCAGAAGTCTCTTTATTTTAAAAGATATAAAATTCAGAAGTTAATAAGATAATTTTTGTAAGGTCACAAAAAAATCTTGTATTGATATCGCGTGAAATCACCTTCAAGAAATTAAATTTTCTCTTACATCTCAAGAAGAACAAAGCTGAGAATTTTTTTCACAATGAAGTACTTATACCTTTATATTACATGGACAATATCTTAGCCTTTGTTACTAAACTTCCTTTAAAAAAATCTTTAGATAATTCTGATTTTCCTTTTATTTTTTAAATATGCATATCATGAATATAAAAATTACTATGAATTATATTCAATTAGTTTCTTAATTCTTAAAAGATATATTATGACTTAAACCCCAGTCACATTTCCAAAAACGACCAAGGCCGACGGATTTTAAAGCAAAAATGGGAGTCTTCGGGTTACAGTCGTCAGTTCATCGGCCGTTGTCTTGGCTGATTTTGACCTTTTTTTTTGTCGGCCGACCAAATTTGTGTCCATCGGTCCAATTTATAATTTTTCATGCGCCAGGGGCCGATTTCTTCAACTGCAGTTATCCGTCGACCAACCTTTGATCATCGCCCGACCATCAGTTCATCGGCTGTTGTCTTGGCTGATTTTGACCTATTTTTTTGTCGGCCGACCAAATTTGTGTCCATCGGTCCAATTTATAATTTTTCATGCGTCAGGGGCCGATTTCTTCAACTGCAGTTATCCGTCGACCAACCTTTGATCATCGTCCGACCATCGGCGGTCAGTTTATTAAATCGGTCGTCCGCCGTTGGACAATAAGTGTGTTGAAAATTTCGGCCGACAGTTAAAATCAAACCGTACCTCAGAGCTCAATGATCGGGCGACGATTGGCCGACTTGAGAATATTTAACCTATTAAAGGCCGAGGTTTTCAACCGTACGGTTTTCCTCAGGTAAATTTGGTGTGGGGTGGAGCTTAATCGAAGCGGCCGAGAAGCCTCGAGGGAACGACGCTGGCTATTGTATACTACCTATATACACAGGATGTTACCTGAGCCCCTGCGTGTATTACCTGTATGCGTTTTCCTACTACTTTGTAAACCGAGACCATTTTTTTCATGTTTAGCTCATGAATTGAAATGCCAAATAAAGCATTTTTTGATACAGACAGAATCCTCCTCAATTTCTCTCTTCTAAAATAATTGATATTTTTAATAATTCGACATAATTCGACATTTTTTATATACGGTGTGTTTCTTAATGAAGTGTTTTAACGAAAATACATTTAGCACCAAAATCTGTCCTTGTAATCTGGCGACAAAAATGAAAGTAATTCAAATTACACGTCGTCTAGCAGAACGAAAGAAGAAAGTGAATCATAAAACAGTCTCTCGGTAATAACAATGAAACTTAGAAACGATGTTTTGGGAATAAAATGTTGAAGTAGAAATATAATTGTCTAAATAAATATCTTTCTAAGATAAACCCTAATTGATTTTTTCCATAACGCATGATCTGTAAAAATGGCAAGGGCTTCGGACCGGGGTTGATTCCCCGACAGCTATGAAACGGGAAAAGAATCATCTTCTTTTTTCTTTCGGGATTCATTATTAATTTCAAACATTAAATCCAAAGCAAGATGTTATATTCCGAGTAATTTCTCTTCTAAAACTTAATTATTATTATACCGTAATTTCGTTACCATGTCTCGAAGAAAAGCGACACGTACAGGTTGTATCTTATCAATATAAATTCGCTTGACGCATGAACAATGTTACAATGTTGTCATACTTGTTTCAAATCATAATTTTATTTAATTCCATGATAATAGCTTAAAATGTTGGTCGGTTTATTTTGTTAATTAATAGAGGTATAAATGTACGTTAACTCATGTTTTGACACGGAAATTAAAATTATCAATTGTAATTGTGATATGAAGTCCTCCCGTTTAAACTTAAATTTATAATATATATTTTATAGCCTTGATTTTCTTGTCATTTATTTGATTTGATAGACTGATTTTATATTTATGGCATATTCTTATGAATATTAAAAAAAGAAAACAACGATTTGATCGCTTCTTATCACGTTGGCATAAGCGGTAGACATCAAAAGACTGAATGTTCATTCGATGGTCTGTACGATCTCCAGACAAGGTACACAAGATATACACAACAGCAGCCAGCTAAATGTCAATCAAATCAAAGTATCCAATCCCAGGCTTAATTTCAGATGATCGACAGAAGTTCTAAGACCAGATAAATTTGAAGGAGGTGCTTATTTTCCTCCCCCTTTAAGGATACATAGCACAAACAAACAAAAATGATGCATGGATTGATATAATTTTTTTGAATGGAAATAGCATAATTAATTAATCCGTAAGTTATTAAGAAATCTTAAGTATTCTTTGCTGCTTAGATATGCACCATTTGTCATTTTTATGCGATTCCATACAAAAGTTGCACACATTTTCAACATTGAGTCACAATTTTATGATTCTGCCACTTTGTTTTGCAAACATTACTCATGTCACCTATGTTACAACGCTAAATGTAATAACAACACGAAATGTAGTAAACCTGGATTATTACATTTTGCGTCGAGATCAACTCGTGATCAACACAAAATGTGATAACACGATTTTAAGATTATTACATTTTGTGTTATTACATTTTGCGTCGAGATCAACGCAAAATGTATACACCTGCTACAGAAATACACAACATGATTCCTAGATAGAGCTGTGTTATATTGTTAAGGGGTTCTTTTGATTTCTAACTTCTTGGAATGAAAAGATGTTGTAACTTTTATATAATTTATTGGAAGTCTTTTAGACATCAATTGTAAACATATGGCGTCAGCAAGGCACAGCATCAATTAATTTGAATCCTTATTCAGGATAAAAGCTATGATATTTCCTTATTCTGGAACGTTTGCCTTATTCAGGACTTTCTATCTACATGTTTGTTTCCCTATTCAGGAACTATGGTTCTTCTTCAGAACTACGCGAGCCAACCGACTAACAAATTAACAAAAATCATGGTTTCTATACAAGTATAATAATCACGTGATTAAATTAAAGCGACATCTATACATAACAACATAGAACGATAATCAAGACATGAAATAAACATTAAAAGTTATTAAACATATTATTTTTAAAATCACAAAAGTATTATTTATTAAAGTCTCTATATATAAAGTCCATAACATAACCCACACCTCCTTGAGATTCGTCCCTAATCGCTAAATTAAATGAAAATAGTATCACAATTTAAAAAGTTAATAAAATGTTCACATTATAACTCAAATTCGGTCCATTCCGTCTCCGAAATTTGCCTCTTCTTCATAATAACTCCACTGCAATGGGTAGATGCATCGCACAAGGTAGGTGTCTCTCGGTCGCACTGCACGGTGGCATCCTTCTGTGGCAATCCTGCCCTCGTTTCACAACTTACAGATGTCTGCACATGGCTGTGTGTCGCTGGTTTGTCTCTCTTCGGGTTGAAGACAGGCATCGGCTGAGTGCGGCGCCGGATCGTACAATCATCCTTAGGTTTTTGCCTCGGTTTCTCTTTGTCTGTGTGTGTGTGTGCTGAATGTCGATGCTCGTAATGTCTCTTCATATCGGCAGTTCTCTCTGACGTGTAATCACAGTGGCACACTTGATTCTTTTGTCGTGCTTTTGGCAAATAATCTCTGACACTTCTTCAGGACTCTGGAACATCTCGATACAAAGTGGATACTTATGCATGGCGGTTACTTTCCTTACGGTATTCTTCGTCCTCGCCATCCGACTGCAAGACTGCAAATGAGAATGAATGAACTGTCCTTCCTTTGATGTTTTGTCTGATTCCCTCACGTGGTACAGCTGAAAATCTTTAAAGTGTCTGGGCTTTCGGCATCGCCTTTCAGATCGGGTGGTCGTTTCGCTGTGTATCTTTTGATCTTCCGAATCTACAGCGTCGTTAACGTCGACGGGGTCTCTGCGATGCACTCAATGTACGGAGCACTGATAGGGTCAATAATAACGTATGGAACGTGTGGTGTTTCAGTGGCATCTTGTTTCCTGAAATTTTGAGTTGTTTGTTCTTGACTTTCCTCGCGACTAATGTAATTCTTTAACCTGTCAACATGAACAACCAGATAATCTTTGCCCTTAACTATCTGATATGTAACATCGCTGATTTTCTTTAAAACTGTGTAAGGCCCTGTCCATCACATTTGGAATTTCGGTGAAATGCCTTTAATCCGTTTTACAGTATACAACCATACTTTGCTACCAATGTCAAACTTCTTCCAGGAAAGCTTAGAATCAAATCTAAATTTCTGTTGTTTCAAACTTTCACCCAAATTCTTCCTAGCTATATCATGTGCCAATGCCAATGAATTTTCAAGGTGACTAATACATTGGTCTTAGCTGGCAGTCCAGCCAGCAGTTCTACAGGAAGTACAATTTCTCGTCCAAACGTTAAATAATTAGGAGTAAAACCTGAACTTTCATGTTGTGTAGCCCTGTATGCCATACAAACTAATTGCAGGTGATCACTCCAATTCTTCTGGTTGGAGTCGACGTGCGCGGCGATCATATTCTCATCTGTGCGATTCATGCGCTC